TAGATAATACAGCAAAAATGGTAATGAAAGGTGATGAAATACTTTTTCATCAAAGTGTCTGATCATATCTAAATCAAAGTGTTTCAGTCCTTTCATACAGCTTATGTTAAAATATCAGACTAGTACATCAGTGTTGAGTACTGAAGTGAGGAGGAAGGTTAAATGGCATGTGATTCCAGTTTGAATAGTATGAAATGTCTGACAGATCGAAAGTCGCCACCTTGTCACTGTTGCCATTAAAGGAATAGTTCACCCAAAAATGAAAATTTGCAAAAAAATAAAAAATTTACTCACCCTCAGGCCAACCAAGATGTAGATGAGTTTGTTTCTTCATTGAAACAGATTTGGAGAAATTCATCATTACATCGCTTGCTTATCAATTGATCCTTTGCAGTGAATGGGTTGCTGTTAGAATGAGAATGTGGATTTTTGTGATGTTTTTATCAGCTGTCTGAACTCTCATTTTGATGGCACCCATTGACTGCAGAGGATCCACTGATGAGGAGTTAATGCTACATTTCTCCAAATCTACATCTTTGACGGCCTAAAGGGGAGTACATTTTCATTTTTGGGTAAACAGTTCCTTTAATTGCAAAGGGTTCTTCAGACTCTTCCTTTGTGAATGCATGAGGGTATCCTTACAGGTCCAGAAAGGAAGAGGGTAAGCAATATTTTTGGAGCATGAACCACGGTCGTCATGTTCCCAATGAACACTTCATCTTTTTATGAAAAAAAGTTCCCATGGTCAGGTCCCATGAAACACCTCGCCCCCTTTCATTATGTAACAGTATTCCCAATGAACATTCTGTCTTCTCTTTTTAATATTTACATTTTACTTCAAATAAACCTCTCTCTGAGGCCTGTCGCCATACCCACTGTGCCCGTCTCCGTTCACCCTGCCACAATGTGTCTTGTGGGTGTGGGTACAACTGTCTGTTCTCAGCAGTTCTTGCATGCTTCTCCATGGACCCGGTGAAACAGATGCTCTGAACTGTCACAAAATTCACTTAATACAAAGCCCACTGGATGGACTGAGGGAGAAGAAATGGGGCAGGGAAGGAAGCATCCATAAAAACAAGAACATGTACTTACTGTACTGGCAGTTTCTTCCCATATATTCCCCTGGGCATTCACAGGAATAGTTCGCAACCAGATCTGTGCAGATCCCCCCATTTCTACAGGGGCTTCTTTCGCATTCATTAACATCTGCAGAAAAAAAAAGGGAAAAAGGGAATCGTTTATATCAGGCTTAAAGTAAATCAGGTTTATTGAGTTTGTACTCTTTGTTATTTTATATTTGTCTCATCTCACTGCTTAGAAAAACATTCCAGACAAAATGGCGACTATTGATGATAAAGCAATAACACCCCCTCGCTAGCAAGTCTTTGATTAATTAAACATTTATAAACTCAAAATGTTGTGTTGCATTTGAAACAGACAAAAGAGAGACAAAGAAAAAGAAAGACAAAAAATTAAAACTGAGAAATTGTAGGAATACACAATCACTTCTAATGTTTTCAAGGCATACAATTGTTATATATAATTATTTTTCATTCAGAAAACAGGGGCAGTTTTGACTTTTCATTTGACTTTTCCAGGTGGATTAAAAAAAAAAAAGAAAATAACAACAACAGCAATAATAATGATACATTACAGTTCAGAAGTTTGTTGTCAGTGAGATTTTTAAAACGTTTTTGAACAAAGTCTTTTATGCTCACCTAAGGCTGAATTTATTTGATCAAAATACAGTAAAAAAATAGAAATTTTGTGAAATATTAATACAATTTAAAATAGCTATTTTATATGTAATACATTTGAACATGTAATTAATTCCCGTAATGGCAAAGCTGAATTTTCAATGTGTCACATTGACTGGTAACTCTGCAGGAACAATAAAGAGAAGTGGATGGTGGGATTTGGAAATTATCCAAACCGGATAACCAACACATCTTGTTTATTCTAAAATTATATTCATAAAGTATACATAAAAACGGAACAGCAGCATTCAAGCAGCCTGAGGTTAGGTTCATCAATGGTAAAATTAATTTCACTAACCATTTGTACTGTTAACTTTCTGTTGAAATGACTGTCTGTAGTTTATAGTTAATGAAAACACCTGCCAAGAAAATCAATATAAATGTAAATTAATGTAAAACTCCATGCAATGCCCCTGCTAAACACTGCTTTGTTGGGAATACATATTTTCTTTTAATAACACGTTTACACTGACACATGATAAGCTACTAGACCTAAGCATCAGCCCGAGTGTTTGAACAGTGAGACGAAACCTGCTACTGACAGAAACTGAAATCTATATAGGAAAAGATAGAAAATGATATGTTTCAAGACATGCCAAGCTCACCAGTGACGGGGGGTCATCACTTTAGTATCTACCGCAGTGCACACACAGAAGTAACCCATTTAAATTCAACCCTATCATCCTGAGGTTTCACCACAAATTAGCCTGATGAAAAGCACATCTCTTTATTCCACTGTGGTTAGACTAACAGGATGAGAAAGAGCAGTCACAATAATCCAGCCGTGTGGTCTAGGGAAGCCCTCAGCACTCTAAGACCAAATGCCAGGAGACCAGACTCATGTGAGTCTGGCCAAAGAAGAAAGCTAGAGTGTGTAACTTTTTGGATGTCAAAGTTCAGTTCTGTCATCATTTACTCACTCCCATGTCATTCCAAATCTGTATGACTTGTTTGGAATTTTGGTAGTTTGAACATGTCTTTTTGTTCACAAAGAAAGTCAGGGAGGTTCAGTGTTGGACCCCAGCATTCTTTAAAATATCATGTTTTTTTTCCACTTTATTTATTTATTTATTTTCTTTTCAAATCCGGTGACTTTAGTTCCTGTGACCTCATGGGATAGAAAACTGTCCAACTGACACTGACATTATTAAATTTTAAAATGACTTTAAGCTGCATGCTGCACTACATTTCCCCTTAGATATATAGGGGGGGAGGGGGGTGG